TTCTTAGCTTTACTCTAGTACTATATATACAGATAAGTTTTGCTGAACATACATTCAGTAAACTTCATAGACTTATTTAGCTAGTTAGGTTATTGGCCCAAGATGTTAAAGTGATCTATAAAAAACACATTGTTTACAGGTTCTCATGATTTATCTAAGAGAATAGTATCAATGGGAAATAGTATGCACTGATGCATCAAGTTTCTTAATCTTTAATTCGGCTTGTAACTTCAATCATGCCTAGAACGAACTATAAATGGACTCAAAAGAGATCCTTAATGGACTCCTATAATAAGAGAAAACAAACTGATCTCTGCTACGACACCTAAACATATGAACAAGAACAAGTCAGAGCGGTTTTGTCATATCCTTTATCAACTTAATATAATTTTAAATAGATCCTTAATGGACTCCTATAGTATGCACTGATGCATCAAGAGTGAAAATTAGTTTCAGAACCTATTGATACTGACATTGTAAATACTTTTAAAAACATCTTAATAGAATCTCTGCCAAATCAAAACCTATGAAACAAGTTTATATTCAAGCAATCCAGCTATAAAGCTTCATAGGAATACAAATTACTTCAAAACAGTATCAATGAGTGCATGTCTGTGAGAATTTACAGAAGAGTGGAAATTAAAAAAATCAAAATACCTTATGAATTTATTCATTCAAAATTAGAATGAAGGGCTCAATATCGAGGCGGCGACGCAAAGCGCTCGCCTGCACGTCGGAGGAAGATCCCTTCTAGGATCTGCATCGGAAACACATAGAGGATGCACGCCTTCACTCTATTCCCAGCCTGAAGGCCATCAGATTGATCACCTAGCTGCCAAACGATGCTGGGATAAGGAATCCGAACACGGCTCTCGACGATTCCTAGTCCGGGCCACGGAATCCCCCTCCCCTGAGAAGAGATCTGGAAGTCGTCATCCGCTCTCTTGCGGAAGTGAAGGTGAGAAGACGACGAAGAAAATAGAGATCGGAATTTAGATATACTCCGTACGATTTAAGATTAGGCTATTTGTGAAATAAGAAAGATTAAAAATACATATATGAAATTGTGAAAGTTTATCAATGAAAGAAGAAAAACGGTGCGACATAAATGATATGTGAGTAGTAAAAGTGGTTTATTCCGGTAATTTCCACAAATTTGATTTGATTCGATCTGAAACCAATTCAATTAAAACACATCGATCATCATGTTAGTATAATAAAGAAAGAGAATAGATGACAAAAAAGCTAAAACGTTCTTCTATATGCATTTTAGTCAATATACTTCGAAAAGTGACTTCAATCCAGATTATTATATAATTGATGAAATCAAAAATTATGTGTTTGATGAAAAAGTAGATCGATAACTCTCTTACGTTGGAAAAGATAGATTACCAAACTGATCTTTAGACATTGTTTGTTTGTGTTTGCTTGAGCTAAGAAGCAATTTAGAGTTATAGATTATATTATGAGCCCGTTTTATAACACTGAAGTTGACTGAATCGATTGATGCTGATGAAATTTATGATATTCAATTCTAGCTAAACCAGATAAATTGATTGATTCTATTTATTCTATTAAATATATTCTATTAATAAGAAAACATTTTATGAAAATTAGAGCTATAGTTTGGTCTTTCGATAAAGAAAAATGAAGTACAATTTTAGTCTATTTTGATATTTTTAATTTGATTTTTTATAAACAATAGCCAACCCTGCCTTAGCAACTTGCCTAGTTAATGATAACCCGTGTGGGTAGGGTTTATGATGCAAAATCCTAATAATGTGCACATCACATACTCGTGCACAAAATAATTAAGTAACAACATACGAAGTATAATATTTGCATGCTTTAAGAAACCAATACCATAAAGTAGATATATATTGAGTTATTGACTATTAAAACATTCACATGTTGGGCTGTGCATTAACTGGGTCGGACCGTATTTTATACTTGAACCGGACCGGAATGGACCGGTCCGGACCGGACCGGTATAAACCGGTCCGGGTTTCGGTCCTTAGTTTTGTAAGATTCCGGGTTCCGGTCCGGTCCGGGTCAAACCCGGAAAAAACAGGTCCGGACCAGAATGGACCGGTAACCTATTTTCCCGTAAAATATATACTTGGTTTTGTATCATTAGTCATTATGTTTATGACTTATTTTTGTCTTTTATTATATAAACGAATATATACGGAGTTTATATTTGGTGTCTAATTATTTCCCAAGTTGTTTTTTATTTATTTATATATGCGATTTTTCTGCTTTTTATTTGTTTCTTTATTTGCAGGTGCCCATGTAGTTTATACGTAGTATATTTTTGGACTTAATTCAGTTTTTATTACTTTATAATAGATTTTGCATTTTAATATACACAAAAGATTGTAGTTTTAATTATTGTGGGAAACTAATTGTTATGATTGAATAGTTTTGATAACTATATTCCAAAATTAATAAATGAGCTAGATAAACAATTATAGAATATGGATAGCAATGGAAAACGTGACTAAGTTGAGGAAGTTGTCAATTGAATAATCTGCAGGGGAGTGACGCCCACTTTATAATTAGGAATACCAAGTATAGTAATTAGGCGGCTTTCTTGATGCTATCTACGGAGTAGATCATACTGGATGGTGGGCCCGTGAATCATCCAAACACTTGGAGGCATGACAAAAGATGTCCAAGGGGCGCAACCAATTGGGTCCGACTAGACCGACACAAAGAATGTTTCTGAGATCCAATTAGATCAGTATAAAGAATATTTTTCAGAAAAAACTTACACGGGATTTTTACATTAAAAATACAGACGTTTTTAAATTTGGTTTGGGTCAGGGCCAGTGTTAGTCCCCTAGCTACGTCCCTGTCCATAAGAATGTTTTTATTTGGACTGTAATATTTTAGTGGGGTCTAGTCTCTATGACTTTGGTTTGTTAAATGTTACTCCATTTGCGTTATATAATTGCCAAAGTTTGATTTGATTTGCTCTAAAACCAGGTCATTAAAACATTATCTTATTGATATAATAATGAAAAAATAGATGACAAAAAGCTAAAACATTCTTCTATAGACCTTTCAGTCAATTTAGTTGGATAATTAACTTCAATTCATTTGATTATTATACAATTCAGCGCGTGAAATTAAACATTACGTGTTTGATAAAAAAAGGTAGGCTGATGAAGTTGTTAAGTTGAAAAATATGGATTACCAAACAGATCTTTAGACATTGGTTGTTTGTGTTTGCTTGAGCTAAGAAGTAATTTGAAGTGATAGATTATGAGTCCGTTTGGTAAAGAACATTGAAGTTGACTGAATTGGTTGATTATGATGAAATTTATGATATCCAATTCTAGTTGAACTAGTTAGATTGACTGATGCAATTTACTTATGAAAAAATTAATATTTAAATTACTCCGTATATTTTATTAATAACATTAGAAAAATTATATGAAAATAGAGCTATAGTTGGGTCTTTTGATAAAAAAAAAAATGAAGTATATTGTTGGCCTATTTTGATTTTTTTTTAATAAACAATGGCCAACACTGCTTTAACAACTTGCCTAATGACATAATTGATAATCCGTGTGGGTAGGGTTTATGATGCAAAATCCTAATAATGTGCACATCACATACTCGTGCACAAAATAATTAAGTAACAACATACGAAGTATAATATTTGCATGCTTTAAGAAACCATTACCATAAAGTAGAGATATATTGAGTTATTGACTATTAAAACATCCACATGTGTGAGATCGAAAATAGCAAGTACGAGTCCAAATGAAATACAAATCCAACACTTAATGACTACTCCACGCATGCATTTGATAATTAACAGAAAAGTATGGGCATTGAGTACATTAATCAACCTTTCGTGCAGGTTATTTACTACAAAATCGCACATTTATTATGTAATAAATTGATATACGGAGTGATAATCTTGTGGATTATTCTGAATATTGTAAATTAAATAGACAAAAATTTAACTTTATCCTTTCTTGTCTGAATTTAATGACGTTGAAGACTTGAAGCCTCGAGAATTAGGTGAATTGGTAATTCTACTCATATTGATAAAGACACGAAATGGCTGTATTGGCTGATTTATGAAAAAATTATATTTAAATTAATTATTATTAATAAATAAAAGATATATGTGAAAAATAAATAAAATGATCATCTACAGTAAATTCAGTCAATACGGTCATAAAAGTAACTTTACCTTTATTTTTTCTTATTATTACACAATTCTGTGCGCGAAATCAAAAATTACGTGTTTGGTGAAAAACTTGACAGATAAGCCTGAAAAACCGAAAAAAGCAGCCACCAAACGGGCTCTCAATGGAAAAATAAAACGACATTTAAAAAATGTTTTCCAGTTTTTACATAGAAAAGTTGAAATTAGTGTTTCAAGTGACAATTCTTACTTAAATACTTAAAATTTGAAAACTAAAAGCGGGAAAAAAGGTGTTTTAAACTATTTTTCACTTTTTTGTTGCAAATACTCAATAAATCTCGATAAATAAATTAGATAATTGAGGAAGTAAAAATATTCATATTGCGATTATGTGGGGTCCCATTCAAATGTGGATATGACCTGATTTAAATAAATAAAACTACGAATGTTTTTAGTTTGAATAATTTCAGATTAATGAGAATTAAACAGATTAGATAAGATCATACTTCAACGATTGTAAAATGTATACATAGTACGAAGTATATAACACGCATCTACTAAAATACGGAGTATATACATAGTATGTAACAGTACAGATTAAATGAGACTAAACTCTAAAATTTCGATCTGATTAAAAATGCCAAACTAACCATTTTATTAAAATGTGGGAGTAATTTTTAATTAAAGTGAGAAGTTCCAATTAAGTAAAAGCATATGTAAAGGTGGAGGAAGTATGATATTCGTATAATCAAAGTTATAACCTGTACAACTCCTTCACCGCCTTTCTATACGCAACTTCCAACTCCCTCCCCTCTGTCCATACCTTCCCTCTTCCCCAGCCTATATATATAAATTATTTTATTCTTCTCTTCAGTCCTTCACTCACACTCAAACTTGGATTTCCCTCAATTCTCTTATTCTCTCCGATCCTTGGCTTTTTTCCCACTTTTGATATATGGCTTTGCAATCCATGAAAGCGGTGGCGCAGAAGATACCGCCGCCGCCACTCGCGGCGGTTGATGTTCAGAATTTCAAGAAAAAGCGTTCCAAGCGTCCGCTCACCGAGAGCCTGCCGCCGCCTGAGACAGAAGAAGAGTATCTTGCTCTCTGTCTTGTCATGCTCGCTAGAAGCGGCGCCACCGTCCCTGGCGCAGGAAAGAAACAGAGGGTGGACAGTGAGGCGGTTTCTCCGCCGCCATACTCGACGGGGGAGAGGGTGGCGGATCAAGAACTGTCCTACAAGTGCACCGTGTGCGATAAAGCCTTTTGTTCCTATCAAGCACTTGGTGGGCACAAGGCCAGCCACCGCAAACACATCCTCGGCGCCGACGATGGCCACCCCTCCACGTCAGCTTCCGTCACGGTGGCGGTGGCGGGACCGAACGTCTCCGCCCTGAACCCTACCGGCAAGCCCCACGAGTGCTCCATCTGCCACAGGTCCTTCCCCACCGGTCAAGCTTTGGGAGGCCACAAGCGCCGCCACTACGAAGGGAAACTCGGCGGCGGCGGCGGAAGTAAAGACGGTGGCCGCAGTGGAAGCGCCGTCACATCCTCCGAAGGCGCGGCGGGGGTTTCAAGCCGCGTGAAGCTGGAATTTGACCTGAACGAATTGCCACCGTCACCGGATTTGGAGCTTCGCCTGAGCGTTGACTTCGCCGGAGAGGGTCAACCAGTCGCCGACGACCACGAAATAGAAAGTCCCGTGCCGGTCAAGGAACCGCGTTCATCGTTTCGGGAAGACGTGCTTAATTAATCAATATTTATTGAAATTTGATTGTTAATTCTCAATTAAACATAATTACTGCGAGGGTTAATTTCCTAATCTGATCTTAATTCGTGTACAGATAGAGAGAGCACGTACGTAGTAGTTGAATTGAACTCGAACTTCTCCCCATTCATTCATTGAATTGAATTGAATTTAATAATAAGAATGTTCTTACCTTAGCTTGGGTTGTGTACAAATATCATTGGTTAGGTCAATTTTCATATGATGCCTAATTTTATTCTCACCTTTAAGTCTGGTTTTGAATATGATCGAAGAATACTTTTTGTATACATCATATTAGTGTATAGTAGTCACATATTTCAATTAAATTGGACCAGTAATTCCGGACAATTTAAATCTTCAAACATATTTCAATTGGATTCCATCTTGAACATGTCCATTTGAAGGTGTAATCTGTAAATATCACCTCTCTATATGTGTTTATCTCTCTTTTGTCTCAAGTGCACTATGCATATCTATGCATATTGTAGAATTGGATATGTTGTAACACATTCACCCGTACGCATAAGTCTCATTTTTATCTCATTATCTCACAATGTTTCAATTATTACTTTTAGGTTATATGTGGCAATTATTTCTACTTTTTCTATATTCATAAGTTATATGTGGCATTTAATCCACTTTTTCTATATTCCGATCGTGTAAGCTCTATTTCTATACATTGTCATAAACTTCGATCAACAATTTATTCTAGAGATTATGTCTAACATATTACTAAAAAGAGATCTGGAGAAAAAAGTGACCTTTATTTATGTTCCAAAAATGTAATATAGTGAGAAACCCAACTGACCTGCTACACTAACTAGTTACAGTGACAAAAGATGCAGTGATCAATTTCAACTATTGTCGCAGTGACCAGTAACACGTATGCCCAGTGATAGTAACACGTATGCCTAGTGACAGTGACATGTATGCCGGGTAATGGTGACCAATATTATAATAGTGACTAACATTATAGTTATATTAATTGTATTAATTACAATTATATATCAGTGACAATTACATTTTTTCGGACAATTACCTATTCATTCGCTAGTGATAGTTACATATCACCGCCGCCATACCAGTGAGCCTTGCCATCCCAATACACACCGTCGTCGAATGTCCGGTGACCACCACTGCCCGACATTGACCACCACCACCCAAAATTGATCGTTGCCACACGCTCCTCCACCACAAGCAGAGCTCTGCCCCACCACCATCACCCCAGTCCAGTCCTCATCATTCAAGACCTGCCCCACCCCTATCAACCTAGCCACGCCCTGCCTCCACAAGCCCTGCCCCATCCCTATCAGTTTTGCCCTGCCCCACTTCGACCAGACTAGCCCCACCCTCGCCCCCAACCCCCAACTGACAATACCCAACCTTAGCCCCCAACCATCATCCACAACCACCGCCCGTAACTCTAGCCGTCAACCCATTGACGCCGCCCTGGCACCGAAATCGCATGCCGTAGAAACCTTAGCCCCCAATCGCAACATCTTAGTAGAAGAAAATGCAGAGCTTGCGAGAAGAGAAGAAGTCAAGAAGATGACTTGTGGTGATGGTGGTTCGGATCTGGCTTGCAGCGATGGAGGTGCGACGATGTGGGTGCGGCTCTGGCTTGCAGCGATGAAGGCGCGGCGATGGAGGTGTAGTGTAGCTCTGGAGGCGTGACGATGGAGATGTAACTCTGGAGGCACAACTATGGAGGTGCGGCTCTGGTTTGGGGCGTTAGATGTACGCTGGACCGAAAAGGATATGGTATTTAAGGGTATTTCGGTCGAGTTGGTAATCAAGTCTCTTTTTTGTCCAATTTGAGAACATGTCTTATTTTTGTCCAATAGAAAGACTGGGGTATTAATTTGGTCATTATTCCTTTATTCTATCTCCATCTTCTTTATCATTTTCCTCTACACACAACATTTTCTCTATTTTAAAATAAAATAATCATCCTATCTCATTATCTCTATCTCTCATATGCCACATAGGATATGATAGAACTTACTATGATCCACCTTCCCATTAGAGATACCCTAAGGAATGGCACTATCCAAACAATACCATTTGGCCGGGTCTGCCCGACTCATGATCATTCAAATACTTGCTTCATGCACACGATGGACGTGTTCAAATACTACTATTAACTGAGCCATCCCGCTATGACCTAATAAAATATAGATTTCTTTGTTTTGTTTAATATTCATATTCATATTTTTTTCTTAACTTTTGATACTTTGTTAAACCGTGATTTGGTTTATTCTATATTTGGCTTTTGTATTATAATTTTGTGATGTTTTTTATGTTAATTTCAGTTACATCAATTTTACTAAGCAATTTCATTTCTACCCTATAGGGACATGTCATGGGAGAACATCTAACGACATGTTGCTGATCACGGGATGGGGCATGAAGATGTAATAAAGTCACAAGATGGGTTCTGGTAGCGTCTCGTTCCGATTCATTGTTATGCCTATTTGAGATCGTGAAGAAATTTGAATAAATAGTTAAAAATTTAACAAGTGATTATTTTTGAGAACTTATCCTTGCATTATAAATAGCTAGGAATTTTTCCCCGTTTGGATTAACATGTTTTAAAATATTGGAATTGCGTTGAATCCACGCTCCATTAAATTGAGTGTCTCCAATTTGGATTCTAAAAGATTGTTAAAACTACATACCACCCATGGTATTCAATGTGAAAATCAACAGAATTGTCCCTAAAGTGATGTCCTTAACATTTCCATGGAGCTTTTAAGTCTTGAATTTCTATGAATTTGAATGGATTTAAAGACTAAAATAAAATATACAGGAAATTAAATATTAAATAATCCAACTCAAATTCTCATGATTCCCCTCAGATGACAAAGGAATTCTCTCAGCTGCTCAAGTGTGAGTGTAATGGGTGTGGAGGCGTGATGTGTCGAGCCATAGGTATTAAGCGTGGTCGTGGAGAGTGGTCGATGCGACTCCTGTGAGTCTGGGAGACTCATGATGTTTTTACTTGGATTGTAATTTGTTGGTCTGATCTGGTGTAGTCTAATCTGGTCTGATTCTTACGTATTTTTATAACTATTCAAGTCTGGTCTGATCTGATCTGGTCTGGTCTGGTCTGAGACGGATTACAATCCAAGTAAAAACATCATCAGGGACGGAGGTGTGCGTTAACTAAGGGGGCTTGACCCATCCTTGCCATTTCATTTCATTAGATTTTACCTAGTAACTTTTTTGCCCCCCCCCCCCCCCCCCCCCGATATTTTATTTATTTTAATAGGATAACATAAATCAGTTTGATTATCTCCCAATTTTCGATAGTTAATTAAAAAATCTCCATCACCAAGTGATGCATGCCCTATTTTGGAGGTGTAAATGTGTAATTATCTCACCACAAAATAAATATATAACATTGTATTAGATATGTTTGAATAATAAAGTGTAGAGCTAAAACAAATATGAGAAATGTGTTGTCAAAACTAAAGGATGTTTAACATATAAATACTTTTGTGGCCCCCTTCCATGAGATTTTGGCTCCGTCCCAGACTGGGACAAAGGCACAATCACATAAATGCATGACAAACTGACCGGGGAAAACGGGCTAGTGCCCAGCCGCGTTGCGGCAGAGAATGTGAAGGTATGGACTCTCGAGGAGGAGAATCGAATAATCAAGGATTGTCGATTGTCTCTTGGATGGGCGGGAGACACTAGAAGAGTTAAGACTTGGATAGGGAGATCGATTATCGCTCGTTAAGTTGAAACGCGGGTCTGCGATTATGGGAAACGAGTAACCAATTCCGTTACAATCGGATAGATTCTGAAAAATCAATTCAATTTCATAACATCCATAATTGTTCAAAATCCGTTCAGAATCCAAAATGGGGAGATCCCTTTAAATATAATCCAGTCCTCTGTTCATAAAATATTGCATTGCCCTTGTGATGATAAGGCGATATATATGGGCAATGAGGCAATTAGTTTCTTTGTTGGCAATTTAAGAGTATCAAAGGAGGACACGATATATAAAACTCTAAGGACATGTTTATTTCATTGTATATATATTAAACGGTGCATAGTAAAACATGGCTTAATAAGCTAATGCTTACTAAGAGATGCTCATTAAAAATGTGTTTACTTCATTAGGCTTAAAATACCTACTTTATACAAAATGACAAGAATAACCTTAAATCTTACCTATATCATTGGTTGTTCTATATCGCTAGAAACACACCAGCCGTTTATCATCTCCATTGGCTAAGAAATGTCCATCATCTCTGGCTACTTTCTTCTTCCATTTTTGCTCGGTCCATAAGATCAATTAATAAAGGTAGAGTATTCTTGTTCAATCAAATTGATTTTCTCTCTCTATTCGAACATATATACATAGCTACTGCAGTGATTCTCTTAAAAGGAATCCCGGGAACAAAAGCAGGGCCTTTTATTCTCTTCCACCACTTCGAATATACTCCGTATGTATGTACCAGTAGGGGTGGGGAAAAATACCGAAATTTCGGTATACCAGACTTACCATATCGAAAAATACCGAATTTACTGAAATATTTGGTATACCGACGCTATACCGGTATGGTATCGGTATATATTTTGGAAACAAACGGTATACCGGTATACCGTCATACCGTAATTCCAAGTCAATAATTTCCTTAAAATTGTAAAAATAACTAGAAACACAATACTAATTCAAGAATAAATGACATTATATCCATGTTTGTTGAATTATTTATACCTTTTGTTGAAGATCGGTGTTATTTTAGTTATATTTATGTTGTTTAAATTATTTTAGCAGAATGTGTTGTTAACTTCATATATCATGTGTTGAAATATTTATACATATTTATAATATTTTTTGTCAAAAGTTGAATAGAACACAAATAGGTTATCTCATTGGTATTTTATAATTAATTTTATTAATGATTTTAGTATATCACTATTAACACTGACTTTTTTATTTCATTTGACATATTTTAATTTGTTATATTAAATCATGGTAATATACAGATACAGTACCTTACCGTACCGAAATTTCGGTATACCAAAACAAGGTATACCGAAATTTCGGTATGGTAACGGTATGTATTTTTGGATACCGAAAGTTTATGGTATGGTAAAGGTATGCGATTAAATATTTGGTATACCGTACCGAACCACCCCTATATGTATGTATTGACCTTAGTATGTCAACTAGGGCATCAATTGCTGTAAGGTGTTAGAGACAATATAACCAATCTCTATC